GATATAGCCATATGAAGAAATGTTTATATCCATTAAAAATTACATTTCTAAAGAATTTTTAACTAATGGAAAATTTATCACAAATATATTAATGAATAAAACAGTATTTAAAGATGCATACATTTATTGAAAACACCCAATTATATAATATATATTATTTTCGTTCAACAAGGACTCATTGAGCTCCTAATATATGTCAGGCTTTATAGTCGACCCATTTTATCCTTTTAACTTCAATTTAAACAGCACCACCTCAGAGTTTAAAGAATTGCTTCAAATCCTGGAATTCATCATCCATCAGTCACTCATTGAGCACCTACTCAGTACTCAATAGTGTACAGGCAGACACACAGGAGAAGACACAGTCAGTGCCTAACCCCAACAAATGTACAGCTAGTAGGAATCAGTACTTCAGGACTGTCTCCCATATGAACTTATTTTAATATTAAACTGAAGGGGGAAATGTGAAACATCAAAGAAAAGCAGGCAGGAATGAGAATGGTTTGAATGGTGGTCTCTGACATGATGGCTCAGGGTGAGGTAACAGATGTTCTATAGGCAAACATTTACTTCCTGCCTGTAGTTTAGCCCTGGTGTTGCAGTGGTTAAAGCACTTGGCTGTTAACCAAAAGATGACCAATTCGAACCCACTAGCCGCTCCACCGGAGAAAGATGTGGCAGTCTGCTTCTGTGAAGATAACAGCCTTGGAAACCCTATGGGGCAGTTCTACTCTAAGGTCGCTGTGAGTCAGAATCAACTTGACGATGGGTTTGGTTTGGTTCTTTAGTTTAGAAAGATCAGGTTTTATGTGATATGCAGGTGGCCACTAGGGTGTACCAGAATGCTAATATCTTCAGCGTGACTCCAGCTTCCCAAGGGCAATGTGGGTTTGAGATTGAATGCAGTTCAAGTTGACCAGAAATAACTTGTTTTCCAGTAAAATTGGAAGACTGTGACATAGGTCACATAGTTAATAGAATAATTGGGATTAGAAATCTAGAATTTATGAGTCCCCAGGCCATTAGGTCATACAGCTATCCAAGAAATAAATCTTCTATTCCTTCAGCAGGAACTAATTACCAAACTAGAAAAAAATAACAAAAGTAACCAAAAAAAAAAAAAAAA